TGGTATTGGTATTGGTATTGGTATTGGTATTGGTATTGGTATTGGTATTGGTATTGGTATTGGTATTGGTATTGGTATTGTACTGGTATTGTATTGGTATTGGTGTTGGTATTGGTATTGGTATTGGTATTGGTATTGGTATTGGTATTGGTATTGATATTGGTATTGGTATTACTAAGGCTGCCCAACTAAAAGAAACAAATTGACTATCCTTTGCACATGACTTCGAAATCAATGTCACGAAACATTGAACAGTCGGAAGTTTAAAACTTAAAATGTATGTAGCGAGAAAGAAGACGAACATTGACCTAACGTCAATTGTTAACGCGCCTGCTATGTGGCTAGGGCCAGTCGCTGCGACTTTCACGTTGAACGTTGATCGTTGTCGCTGCAGTGTCTTTTAGCTTTTACTCGTGCTAGTTTTCTCTCCTGTACCCTATCAATTGTGAGTGTGATCTTGCATCGTGCTTATATGAGGCTGAGCTGGCAGATCTAATAGTTAGAACTGCCTGTCGCAAAAACGGCTCTATACGACCACGCTAATAAAAGCCTTTCCCGTGGAGACTAGGAAGATTTTCTCGGATTTCATCTCTTCTGTCATGTGCAGTCCGTTAGGCTGCGCTTGTCCCGCGCGAAATGGGCTAACACCCGTGTATGCGCATTTAATATAATCGTTCACTGCGAGCGCAGCTTGGATGTGGCAGTTCTGTAGAAAACGCAGATATATGTGGACTAGAAAATGTACGTTCTTTTGCTATATTGGCGCCATGTTTTTTACTCGAGTTAGAAGATATCGGGACTCGCGGGACAAACGCCGTCCCCCAAATGCAGTGCATTCGGCTTTCACTATTATTAGACACGTAATACATACGTGTAGCGCTAATTGCGAGAGCAGAAATGACCTATATAATATATAGTTATATTTATCTAGGCCAGGACGCTAATTAAGTCGCGAGGGGAGTGAAGCTTAATTAGAGAACATGCATTCGCCCGGCGTGGGCGATTGGCATAGATATTCTCTACTCTAGATATTCAGCATAGAGATATGAACGTTGTATAAACGCAAAATCCGCGAACAAGACACTTTTGGCGTGGACGAGAAACACGTATTACCAGGGGTGGAAAATGAAAAATGTTCATTAATGAAAAATATTTCTTTTCAATAATGACAAACATTTCTTTTCATTAATGACAAATATTTCATTTTAATAATGACAAATATTTGTCATTATTCACCCCATGTAATACCCGGCTTAGCTTGACTACGGCCAAGCAACAAAAACCACAGGCGTGGCCATGTCAGTTAAACAGGTACATCCACTATACTATCTAACTACGCATTCGTGTGACAGGGACGCAGAGGGATCAAACATGGCGGCGCATCATGGTGGACGTGAATGGAACGAGCTCCCAAAATTTATTCTTTTCATGACAGTAATTGAAAGTCAAATACCTCTAACTTCATACATTTTAATAGTCGGAAGCTCATGAATACATTCACGAAAACATTTCGACTATAAAAACAACTAGACACAGGAATACGACATGACAATGGAAAACAACAAGACAAAGGAAAATAACCAGACAAAGGAAAACAGCATGACAAAAGGAAATAACAAGACAAAGGAAAAGAACAAGACAAAGAAAACAGCATGACAAATAAAAAGAAAATGGCAAAGAAAACAAACATGACAAAGGAAACAACATGAACTTACCGACGGAAAACGACTCGTACGCGCTCATGTATTCTGACGTCATGAACTGGTTGATGAGCGCTGTCTTGCCGACGCCCGTCGCTCCCATGATGTAGATGTCGTGCGCGCCGCCATTGTCCGGATCCGTCGTGTCCGTGTCCGGGGTCGACGCCCTTGACGATACCCGCTCTCTCTGCTGCTGCTGTTGCTGTTGCTGCTGCTGCTGCTGTTGCTCGGGGAGGTCGCCGGCAGAGGAGCTAGCGGCGGAGGAGCGGGCGCGGAACGAGTCGCCTCGGTTCATCACCTCGCCCCGCTTGGCGGTCGTGAAGCAGCGCATGCGCACGGCGGAGGAGTCCTCGTGACCAAGCTCGAATTTCGGTTGACCGGTCGAGCGACGAGCCTTGCTCGGACAGCTGGCCGTACGCGGCCGGATGTTCTGCTGCTCCGGCGTGCCAACCTGCTCGCGTAGCTTCCGGCGCGGCACTCGCACCGACTGCGAGCGCGCGTGGCGCGAGTCGTCGGCTGGGAAGTTCGCCGACCGTATCATCGACGACGACGACCGGCTGTGGTGCAGCGCCGCCGCGCGGTGCTCGCCAGCGTTGGATCGAACGCCGCGCTTGAGCGGTTCGCCGATGTTACCGTCTCTGCGGCTGCAGCGGCGCGTGCTGCGCTCTTGGAAAGAGCTGCTCTTTTTCTTCTGGCTGCCGGCAACGCAGACAATATCGGCGACGATCTCAATCGGCCGACGTCGCGACTCGCGGAACGAGCCTGCCCTGCGCTGCGGCATCGCCGCGAAGTCATAATCATCGTCGCAGCCCGCCGCCGCTGTCGTCGCGATGACGCGGGAGTTAAGCGGCGCCAGCAGTCGCGAGCGAGCGCCGTCTCCCAACGCCATCGCCTCCAGTTTTCGCTCCACGCTAGAGAGAAGTCGAATTCGGGTTTCGGATGCTTTCGAGTGCGGATCTACTTAGTTGCGATCGTGGGGCTTCACCGGTCCGTAATCGCACTCGCTACGGCTTCTCTCTTGTCTTAAATTATTAACGCGACGGTCCACCTATATATGCTTAGATCTTCGCGTTACTGCAGGCCGAGGCTTCGCTCGTCCGCATGCATTTACAGATATATATATATATGTGTGTGTATGTATGTGTGTGTGTGTGTGTGTGTGTGTGTGTGTGTGTGTGTGTGTGTGTGTGTGTGTGTGTGTCCGCCGGCTAATCTATTGTGTGAGGTGTGCGTACGGTTAAGTGCCCTCGGTCCGCGATCAATCTGGTAGTGTCGTTAGGCACCCCTAGCGCGCCAGGAGCTAGTTAGCAATCACGGCACACCTGTGAGCAGAGCAAATTACACAGTCAATATATTGCACCGCTGCACGCACCGCTGTGGGCGGCCACCCGATGCGAAAGAGGGGAGGAGCCGGCGGGGAAAGAGGAGGAGGGGAGCGCGCGCGGAACAGAAGGGGAGAGAGGGGGAGCGCGCGCGGAAGAGAAGGGAAAAGAAGAGGAGAGAGAAATATAGAAACAGAGAGTGAGACGGGGGAGATGGAGCCATAAAGAAACAGAGAGAGAGGGAGCGGAGGGGGCGCGCTATCGAAACGCCATACTATAGCAACGTATTAACCGATTCGCCATGGTTCGATTATACCATGGTCTCTCATGTATGGCTATGTATAGTTATTTGCTACAGCGAACGGCTTATAGTTACGTTACACGTACAGATACATGCACGCATGCACACGCACACACACACACACACACACACACACACACACACACACACACACACACACACACACACACACACACACACAGTAGGAACCGAAGGTTAGTAACTAACCTTGTTTGTCGTCAGTCGATTGTTGTTGTTGTTATTGTTGTTCGTGTGGTGATGGCGGTTGGTTTTTATGAGATGCCGGCGGTTTCTAGTACGGCGGCCGTGGGTGTTTGGGCCCAGCGAAATGCGTTTCAGGCCGTACATTTTATGGTTTCAGGCGTAAATTTTACGATCGAATGTTGGTTATATTGCATAATGTTCAAAAAGTAAATCTCGCCGCGAAAGTCTGCGCATGAATTAAAATAATTCGAATAAAATCAGGCGTGTTTATTCAAGCATCTATCTACCATATAATATGAGCTTCTGATATTCAGTTACAATCGTTTCGTAAACGTG